CCCCAAAACCCCAAAACCCCAAAACCCCAAAACCCCGATTTTGATAATAGTTTTGAGATTTTATAAAAATTTACAAAATTTAGAAAAATTGGAAACCAATGGAGAAACTCAAAGGAAAAGCTAAATATAAGCCAGGCCTACAGCCATTTTGAGGTGCTAGGTAAGAAGATCTCAGAGGGAATTTGGGCCTCACTGGATTCATCTGCAGCTAAGGAGTTTCACAAAGAGCTAAAGAACTGCCCTAATTTGAATTTAATTAACTTTATGAGACTAATCATCAGTTTAGCTATTTTGCTGTGAGACATTATTTAAGAGAACATTGCTAATCTCGTTTTCTGGATAAATACCTGTTTAATCTAATTTATAATTTATTCAAATGTTCTTAGCTTAATACAGCTTTTGATAGATCAACTTAATGATCAGAAATATTAACTTTATTTGCCAAATGTTTATTCCTAAATATAGAATCAAGCGGAAGATCTTCACGCACGAGGACTATGCACCAGGGCAGGCTGAAACTGATGAGATAGCCAAGGATTTTGACAGTAATTGCTTTCATTTCCTAACCTTTCTACAGACCTTTATGAATGGAATAGTAAAGAAGTTGGAGATTCTGTTGAAAATAAACGAGGAAATCCCAATGTATTTGCCTATAACATTTCTGCCCAAAAGTCTCAGCCTCTACATAACCCAGACTACTATAACACTGGAGGGAGATCTAGCCAAGGGTTGGGTGAGAAGAGGCTCAAAAGGCAACATAAAGACTTTAACTTAGGCCAAGGTACTATTCTAAATTCTTTATTATGCGATGCTAACCTTGTATAGGACTAGAACAGTCTATCAAGAACTTACGGAAATAACCACCATAAGATGCCTGCAGATTTTGAATTTAGCCCTGATGACCAGGACTTCAATAAAGTTAATAAATTTGACGACTTAGACCTTGACTTGGACGAAAATAGTGCAGAAATTGAGGAGGACTTCCGCAACCTTGACAAGCTAGATTCTAGCAAGCATGAGCGCAATAATTCCCTAAATTTGGGCAGTGTCTATAGCAAAAATGAGTACCAATTTGATGATAAGGTCTCCAGTGTACAAAGAGACCTCTCTATTGATAACTACTCGAACGAGTCTGGAACAGATAATGAAAATGATAGATACAAAAGTCTCATTAATTCCTCGGACATGTCAAATTCTGAGAATGATGACAGAATCGCCCAGCTTGGAGAATATAGACAAAATGGCCTAATGCGTGACAAAACCAGTGGTAATTTGAATAGTCTGAGTAACGGGATGATGAGGATTAAGAGTTCAACCAAATTATTTACAATCCACTCGCCAAAAGAACAGTCTCATAACTCATCTGATTCCTTCTCTCAACTCTCCACAGGTGACTCTGCTTACCCTGTTGAGGCCTTCAAACAAAGGGCAGTGAAGGAATTCCATCGGAAAATAAGTATTTACGATATGAATCATGAATCGAAAGGATTACGGAATTGGGGTCCTAGAGTTCCGAAGCATACTAAACTTACTTACGAGCCTCCAATAGGGTCAAAAGTGGTGTACTCTCCTCCAAACCAGGACTCATCACGAGGGTAAGTCATTCATCAAACTATTATAGACAAAATTTCATTAAGAAGACGAGACCAAAGGTGACTAACTACCATCAGTCAAAAGATTCAGTGGTCTCAGATTGAAGCGAGAATATAACTGCTGATGAAGGATTTGCTATAACTTTTCCTAAAGAGTCACCTATCCAGGGATCCAGAATCAACTATTTACCTGTGAATAAGCCTTTTAACAGGAAGGAGTACATCAAGCCACAGTCGATGTTGAACCCGGCTAGTAGATACAGCTATCTTCAGGTTAGGAAGAACAGACCTGAGCTTTATAGTAGGGTTAACTAGTACCAAGACTTTATATTTCCAATTTTGTCATTTATAAGGGGTTTTGGGGTTTTGGGGTTTTGGGGTTTTGGGGTTTTGGGGTTTTGGGG